AACGTTAGCAATCTCAGTATTATTTTTAAAACCCCAGTGTCTATTTATCTGATTTCCAGTGGGGCTCGGCATGGACGTACTGGTGAACCAACATAATGCAACTACGATGAACGACACGAGACATCTTTAGCATCACGTTTTATTTTCAGTAGAATCAAAATAAAAACTACACGAAAAATTCTTATTTTAACCTTTTCTTTGTTGCCTCTCTGCAGAACTACAGCACTTTATCTACATTTTACTTCGATCAACTGTTGCAGTTCAGGCCGGGGTGATTAATCTATAACCCCGGGCAGGACTTTCTGTAGGCTTAATGAATCACCGTCCTGCTGAGTCACATTCCGCTTACTGCAGACCTGTGGGTGTTAACTGCTTCCTGCCCCCCAGGCCAGCAGCAGATCAGTACGAAACCAGGGAGGAGTGGAAAGAGAAAGAAAGAAGAGTCTCCCTGCCCCACTGCAACGCGTACCTTTGTGTTGCATTCAGGCCTTTCTGCTGCATTCAGGGGACAGGGGCGTTATCTATGGCGGCTTCTCGCTCAGAGAAGTTTCCAGCCTCATTGCACCTTTATATGTAGGCCAGTCGGTCACACGTCTTTTTACTATCCGGTGTGCATTATTTATGTTAAATAAAATGTAAGATAAAGATTCAAATGGACGGATTTAAGCGGTGTAACGGTGCTTTTCGCTCCCCGGTTATAATCGAAACGTGCGCCCACAAGACGTAACGCACACACATGCGGGATTTATAACCCTACATTTAGATTTGAGTTGACAGAATTACCGATGATTATATTTATTCCCTTTCAAATGATAACTGGGGCGTAGGTGGCCAGAGGGAAGTGGATACGAGGGTAGGGCACCAGGTTGGTCTGGAACTCTGTCAGGTCCACATTCAAGGCGCCGTCGAAGCGCAGGGAGGCGGTGATGGAGGAGACTATCTGTCCAATCAGCCTGTTGAGGTTGGTGTAGGTGGGACGCTCGATATCCAGGTTCCTGCGGCAGATATCGTAGATGGCCTCGTTGTCCACCATGAAGGCACAGTCAGAGTGCTCCAGGGTGGTGTGGGTGGTCAGGATGGAGTTGTAGGGCTCCACCACAGCTGTGGACACCTGGGGGGCTGGGTAAACTGCAAACTCCAACTTGGACTTTTTGCCATAGTCGACAGAAAGACGCTCCATCAGCAGAGAAGTGAAACCGGAGCCGGTTCCTCCTCCAAAGGAGTGGAAGATGAGGAAACCTTGGAGTCCTGTGCACTGGTCGGCCTGAAACATGAAGAAAACGTTAATCAACACACTTTCTCCGTTAAAAACGCAGACTCCCACCTATTTGAGAATTTAAACTCACCAGTTTGCGAGTCCTGTCGAGAACGAGGTCGATGATCTCCTTTCCAACTGTGTAGTGACCGCGGGCGTAGTTGTTGGCTGCGTCCTCCTTGCCGGTGATCAGCTGCTCCGGGTGGAACAGCTGGCGGTAGGTTCCTGTACGGACCTCATCTGGGGGGCAACGAGAACACCGGTTAACAGGGAGGCCAACAGACGTAAAAATGATCTTAAAAGTTGTGTAAATGTGTGGAGAACTCAGGAGAAGCTCTTGTGAGGCTGCCTGAAACAATATCCTGGCGATTATATGTGTTGCTGTAACACAAATATGAATTATCTAATAAAATGGTGTCTTAGTGAAGTCTTTACCTATGACAGTTGGCTCCAGGTCCACAAAGACCGCTCTGGGAACATGTTTGCCAGCTCCAGTCTCGCTGAAGAAGGTGTTGAAGGAGTCGTCTCCTCCTCCGATGGTCTTGTCGCTGGGCATCTGTCCGTCCGGCTGGATGCCGTGCTCCAGGCAGTAGAGCTCCCAGCACGCGTTGCCCATCTGGGCTCCGGCCTGGCCGACATGCATAGAAATACACTCACGCTGTGGAGAGAAGAGACAACCGGTTATTACGTATTCATACGCAAATATGAGTCTTTGTTGGATCCACATTCATGCACGTTTGCCCTGGTTTTATTTTTATAAAGAGAAACAGCCGCGTAACTTTACCGCCATCTAACGTCTGGAGTTGTTGTAAAGTTGGTTTTATTGGAAATTGGTGGCTGAATGTTATCGCCATATCTTCTGCAAATATTTAGCTTCTGTTCTTTATTTTCACCGTTTTATACATAAAAACTGTAAATTAAATAATATATATAATCATAAGAAACGGGAAAATGATTATCCAAACTGTTGCTGATCAATTTTAAGTCTAACAACGAATCAACAAATTCAACAAAGCCTCAAATTTTATTGATTAATAAATAAAAATGGCCAAAATATTGTTTATTTT